AGTACAACAACCAAAAAAACAAACTACATTAATGAAATCTTATTAGCATAACTATAAAAGTTTAACAAGACAAATAGAAATCAAGTGAGGAATTTGAAACAAAGAAATTCGTTTCAAAACGCTATATTTACAGCAAGATTAAAACTTAGCAAATACTGACGATAAACTGCAATAACCACACTTGTTACTCACAGACTGAAGCTACCAAAGGCAAAATATAATAATTCAAGACTAAAAAAAACTAATGAACTAAAAATTTCGATGACACTTTAAATGCTCAACATTAGCTGTTAATGCGTAAAACCAATTTAATCTTTTTTGAAATTCAAAAATCCCAGGTTAACCATAACACAAATTAAAACTATAACAGATTTGTGAAACGAAGTGTCGGAAGCAGATTTCTGTAGATAATAATATTTTTCAAATCTCAAATAACAAACTAGATGCCAGTAATAAAAAACAACAGTCATTAATGTGGAAAAAAATGGAACAATTTGAGTGACAAGGCTTAAATTTACACCATTCCGGAACCTACTGCGGCTGAGGTGGAAACTGCCCAAAATCTGAAAAGTCATAACATTAACTTTGATAATTTAAGAAGAGAAGATAAAATTCTAAATTGAAAGATTTGCGTGAGCCAGAACATAAAGGTTTGAATAGGGCTTTCTACCTGCACATACTGCAAATGCCCCATCCCCCTCCTCACTATGTGAGATGAGCCACTCGGTAAAGAAAATAAATTTACCGGACGATGGATTGAAGGCACCTGGGTAAGTGCCTGGATAAGCAATGGGATATGGTGTCGTGTAATTTTGGTTGAACTGAGGAGCCACGTAAGGCATTTGTCCCTGGTAAGGAAACTGCACAGGTTGACCTAAAACTCTCTTAACTTTAAACTACATTACAAATAGTATTTAAGTACAAAGCAATCAATGCGATTCGGGTGTCCTGAACATGAAAAATGTAAAGGTGGTAAATATACGGTCCACAGCGCTTTCCTGACAGATACTTTAAACGATGAATTGTTTACAATGCTACGAATGAGCACAACGTGGAGAAAACGTTCAACAATAGGCAATTAATATATGTCAACTCCTATCTGGTAAAACTCTACCATATGAAATGAATATAGGTTGTGACTGGAAAGGAACACTTGGTATATTTTGTGTTTGAGCAGGTGCCACTGTTGCCGAAGTTGAAGTGGACATACTTGCATTTATTGGAAGATGAGGCAGTTCATTAGTAGCTACAAACAAAAATGAAAAACTTAGTGCCAAAAAACCCAACACAAAATTAGAAAATTAGCCGTGTTGAAAAGGGGACATGAAAGAACAAGTGGCTATAGATATCTGAAGTACAAAGACGATGCTGCAGAGCCGAGAAAACAACGAATGTAAGAATTTAATGTTAGTTTATGACGATTATTCGACATTAAATACAACGCTAAAAAATTAAAACTGAACAGCAAAATTAAAAAATTCAAACATACTCTGGAGACTGATGTTTCGAGGTGGGGCGATGGGGGGTTCCACATCAAAAGGATTTGTAGATGGCTGGGTTTTTGGCGGTGGAGGGCGAGGAGGAGCAGATGAGCTCGATGTACTACTACTGCTCCCTAGAACATCCATTTTTCCCAGAAATAACCCAGATTTAGATCTTGAAACTCATATATTTCATTTCAACTGCAGTTAGGTTGAAGATTTACAGCTTAACTCCAATAACCCAATCAAGTCTTGCAACAAATATTAATTGCGCAATTTATTATTAGCCCTTGTGTTAATCATATACCTGTTATGATTAACGACTAAAGCAAGATCAGCCCAAAGCAAGACTTATGAATCCCGCAAATAGAAAGATAAATTTCTACCAGACACAATATTCTGCTGAAGCTGTTTCATTAAATCTTCTTTTTCCGTTTGTCGCGCAAAACAAAAGTCTGACACTTTTTGCTGAAGTCGCATAAGCAGAGGTGTCAAGTCGTTGTAGAACTGAAAAATAATAGTTGGTTTTCTGCTGTACATATCGTTACGTAAAAGACCATCAAGTTATGGAGGACTATTCACCAGACAAAAAATGTCAAACCACTTACGCCTTGAAAGTGAACAAAAATAAACTATCTAGTAGTGTCTAAAAACTATGTAATATTTAAGTAGTAAATTAATAATTCCTTCAACCCATCATGGAAGAAACTGAGTTTGAGATACGGTATAAAAAGCTAAAAAATAAAATCTAAAAAAAATGTTGTCAACTAAAAGCAAATTTAGACATAGCTTACACCGTGCCAAAATTTCTTTAAACAATATCAAAATTATAAAAAACTACTGCTAGTTATATCGTTCACAAGTACCTTTGTCCCTTCTTCCAGGTTAGATTTTATCTCCAAATATTTATCATGGCCGTTAGCCAACATCTTCAGTATACGTTCCCTCTCTACAGCATTCGCTGTACTTGCTTTCTCGGTACAGAACTTTTTGTTCCACAACTAAAAGCTGTTTCTTAGACAATTATTAAAGTGCTCAACAAAGCAAGACAATCTTTTTCAGGTCTCTTAAAAGACTGAGATGATGTAAACTGGTAACAACTTTCTACTTTCCTTTAAACCTAAAATTAAACTTGCACAGGCTTATTCTTAACTGAATGAAAGCAAATAACCAGAACTGTGCCTTTATAATAAATCATAATTAAAAACAAAATTACAAGATTTCGGATAAATTGCCCATAGAAAGCAATGTTTACCTCAACTTCAGCAAGGCACTTTTCCTGCTTAGTTATGCTCTCGTTGACTTTTGCACGCAAAGGACCATACAACTGATCAAGCTTAGCTGTTGAAACTTTTTCCTCACTAAATGTTTCTCCTTCTTTCATCGTTTTCAGAAATTCGTTACTCATATCACAGTGAACAGCAGCAAATTCCTTTTCTAATTTCTCCCTTTCAACCTAAAGAATCGTTAGCTTAAAATGTTAGCAGCCATCACTTTTTTCATCGAAATATTAAGAATAGATTCATAAAACAAGTAAAATTTCAGATGTAGCCTAAAGCACCTTAATTTCCTGCACTAAATTCATCAGTTCACGTAACTTGCGTACTGACTCAGAGTTGCTATTAGAACTTGCAGGATCCAATCCAGGAACTGCAGCCCTAAAAAAGCAGTATGCAAGCCTGCTGAGAAAACCCAAATGATATCCTAAAAAGTTGGTTTTGCGAACCATTATGCTGCCATTTAAAACTAAATGAGCAACTCTTCTACGAATTACCGAAGTTCAGGTTCCGTTGAGCTTAGAAGTTTTATTGCCTCTTTATGTTCAGCTAGCTTTTCCTTAACAATGTTATCTGCTGCCGTTGCAGAATTCAATATTCCCGTGTACTTTCCAATTTCTTGATAAAGCGGGCCTGTTAAACTTTCGGAAGCCATACGAGTCCATTTCTCCTTGAACTGGTTGCGCAGATTTTTATCATTTTCTTGTTCTTCATTCAGCAAACGCAAAGTCTAAAAGAATTTGTGAAAGAAGAAATTGCAGTTCAATCGAAAAAACTAGCAAGCAAAACAAGCAAAACAGAATGTGATCTTAATAACTGCTGAACGTCTTGAATAAGAGTTTAAAGCAACCTTAAGTCTGTCATACAACAGCTGCTCCAATTCAAACAATAACTACTTAACATAAAATGTAACTCAATAAATTCTACTAATCTTCCACCATGTTGAATTTCTGTCTTAACATTTTCTTCATCGCAATATATTGAAAAGTTATAATTCTGACTATTCCTTAGACTGTTACGCTTACCACTTCACAAGCTTCATATGTGGTAACACCATTCAGACTTCAACATGTAAATGCAACACAAATGCAAACAACCTTACTCAAGCCAGAAATGCAGTATACCTCGTTGAGAATTTCTTGATTTCGCTTCAGTAAACCTGGTAGGTCGTCAAACAAGTTATTCAGTTTATCAATGCCACCGTTACTTTTAACCTTCGCAGATTTCTGTTTTATAGACTCTGGCAAAGCTTCTTGGTTCATTGCATCATCAAGAGCTGCTGGTAAGTTTAAGGAAGCCAATATCCTGCATTTAAATGTATGATTTCAAGAAAAGAACGATTATTTTTCAAAATTTCACTATTGCTTCACAAACACCTCTTCCAAGTTGGAGGGATTTTAGAGAACAAATTTTTCTGAATTATATACCCGTTCATTATCTGAGTATGTTCACGAAGTCTTCCAGTTTCCATATTAATCAAATCTGCTTTGCGCGATTCGTATGAAGCGAGCGCCTGATGAACTTGCACAGGAACAAGTGACGAGAACATGTCTAAAAATCAACCTGACACCAAATTTGCAAATATGTTTCAAAAATTACTTATAAATACGATTAAGGTAAAAGCAAATAACTGAAAAGTATAAAGATGAAAACCTTTAAAGCGCGGTGTAATTGGGTGGTTAACTGGTAGTGGTTTAGCAAGTGGAGCCTTTGGAAGAGCAGGAAGGCTTCGAAAGTCAGCTATCTTTTCGTGGTACTAAAATTCCGTTGCATTTTTGAGACCCATTTGAGGAACACCAATGTCACTTTACAAAAATGAATGAAACTACAATCACTATGTTAATCTGATAAAAATATAAGAGTGTGGAGACAAACGACTATAAATTATTGCTAAAGACACAAAAAATGGGATAAAATTGACCCTTCAAAAAAACAATATTATCAGAATTACACGAGTTTGCTAAAACCACAGAAAGAAAATATTAAAAGAGATAAGAAAATATTACAATAAAGTCGTTGTCTTTCTTGACTAACTGGAAGGCTTTTTCAATTTCATTCAGCTGAGTGCCAAACTGAGACGCTTCAATGTAGCTTTTAGCCTGCTGTACTAAAGTAACTGCTTGCGTCAGGCGACTCAGCTGTTCTCCTAAAAAATTTTCAAAAAATTTTTACAAAAGTATAAGGTGACTTGCAGAGTTGAAAATGAAAACATGACAAAGTTTAGAAAATCTTAAGACATAACCATATCGCACACTTCTTACCAATTTGTCGGGCCTCACCATTCCCCTGTGCCTGATGGTACTGAGCTAGGGCACTCATAGCTAGGCTTTTTCCTGTTACTACATGCAGCCACTCCTATAAGCAACATTGCTAAAAGCAAAGAATTTTAGAAAGGAACTATATAACGGAACTAGCATAAATAGCAACTGCAAAGTAAAATTTTTTCTTCTGCTATAAAAGGGTAAGTAAAAATCACATTCATCTGCGCGCCAAAAAACCAGCGAAGCCCAGTTCTTCATTTCGCCGGAGATGACCTAACTATGGAAAACTTTTTTATGATATCTTGAAATGCGAGTGACAGATAACTTCTACCTGTGCTTCTGCAAGCAAAACCTTATTATTTCAAAGAAAAATTTTTGGCGCGTAAAATTTTAGTTCTATTTGCACTTGATAAAAAGAAAGCGCGATTATCTGGAATACTGTCAAACTTGAGGAAAGCACAACAACAACAAAGATGATCTTCCTAATTCAAAATGCTTCGCTAAGGGGCCATAAAAGCACCAAATATTGCATCTCCACAAATCTCACACGGCAAAAAAATATACGAAAAGCACGTAAAACGAGAGCTTCAACAGTAAAGCTTTATATCCATTATAAGGAAAATTGTGCATTGCAATCCTATGATTCTTCAATCAATGTGAAATTTTTGATTTGATTCTGCAGTATTTTTACGACAAAACCACAGAGAATTTGTATCAGACAAAAGTTAGAGCCTTCGTCAATACGGAAAAAATTTCCATTCCATGTGAAAAAACCCTGAGCTTGACCTGCATGCAAACTCAAATGTTTAGTGATAAAGAATAGTAACGTATTAAGGCTATCAGTAAAAAACAGTACAAATCAGGAAAGAACCATAAAGACGGTATTGCAGAACTAATAACCAATAAATATTTAAAGTAAAATCAAAAGAAAAAACCTTTTCAAATGTGCCACGAACAGTGTCTCGATGCAGCGCTTTCTGTGCTTCATTATAATATTCCGAACACTGAGCAGAAATCTTTACAAGAGCAGCAGGTTTCATTTTATCTAAACATGAACTAATCAATTTTGTAACCTCCTAAATTCCATCATTCAAATAATTTTTTTGGACCTCTTGCAGCTTTTATATAAATGGCTTCTTGGGCTTGGGCTAACATAATCGCAGACAATGCAGACAAGGTATCAGGTAAAAGGTCCGGTGTTGGCTCCTAAAACACCCAACAATATTAACAGTACAACATTTTCTGAAGCTCCTTAGATAACAATCAAACAGCTAAGATCCGAAAATTCGATAAATTCAACCGTGAAAGACAAAAAGTCAAATAAGATCACTTGATGGACTAATCCCAGCACTGTATCTCTTAAATGAGCAAAAACTCCAGCGGCTTGTTGAAACAATTTAGCGGCAGTTTTCATTTCTTCATCCGTATTCATAGGTTGTGCGGCTGCAATTGCCGACATCAGAGCGCCACAGTTAAATAAAACTGCTGCACGTTCAAATTTACTATCACTTAAGGCTGAAACAATCAAACATTACTAACAAAAAAGCTGAAAAACTCGATCTAGCTTACATCCAACTATTTTCAAACACTTCAGCAAAATGACTCCGCAAAACTTAATTTTGGTGGAGGAACATAAATGGGAACTCTCAAAGAAAACCCATAAAAAAGAAACCTTGAACTACAAACTTAAGACGAACATACTAACTTAGGGATGCTCGACTTGAAAACAAAGATCCCTTGTCGAAAGCATCTTTCCACTTAAACGAAACTGGATTTTGAGTAGCAGTTATGGGTAATTTATTTTCAATAGCAACTAACTGGTCGTAATACCTGAAAATGCAAAAAAAAAAAAAAAAAAAAAAAAAAAAAAAA